CACGCGTAGAAGACTTGTTATGCTGGCAGACCTTACAACTGCGAACATACTCTACGCAGTCATTCTTCATCCCTGGCCAGGTATACGCGCGCATCAGATTGGCTAAGGTCTTTTGCCAACCAAAATGACCCTCCGTGTCATGGCATTCTCCCAGGATCAGACTGCGGATCTCTTCGCTATCGGGGATGCACAATCGGTCAAAAACATTAGTCTTCTCAAAAAGAAACCCTTCAGTAGTGCGGTAGTTCAGCTCGGTCTCTGGGGCCTCCTTGACTTTCTTWAGGAGCTCACCATAGATAGGGTCCTGCGCGTAGGCTTCTCTAACCTGCTGCTGCAGATCCTTTCCTATATCGAGGTAATGTACTATTGCCCCAAAATAATCAGCTCTTCTACTCAGAGCATCCGCGACTACGTTGTACTTCCCTTTGACAGGGTTGAGCTCAAAGTCGTACTGATCTATCTCTGCGGCCCACCTAGTAAGCTTAGGTGTCATCTTGGCCTGCGTCTTTAACCATCGTAATGTTTCATGGTCAGAATAGACTTTGAAGTGCCTCCCAAGCAAGTAGTGCTTCTTGTGGTCTAACGCTTGCCTGAGAGCGTAGAGTTCCCTTTCGTAGGTAGATGTCGCGACCTTCTCTGAAGGCATCCTGGCGGACATGAACTCTACGGGTCTATAGCCATTGCCATCGTCTTGCTGTAACACTGCAACTATGCCGTAGTAACGACAAAAGGCAAGGACGGATCGGCGACTTTAAGGACTGGATACTCTATTAATGCCTGCTTTAACTTCTTCATGGCAGACGTGCAGTCCTTATCCCACTTCCAGATGGTCTCCTTCCTCAACAATCTGCGAAGGGGCGCAGCGATGGTGGAGAAGTTCCTCACGAACTTCCTGTAGTAATTAGCTAAGCCCAGGAACGAGCGCAACTCTGTCAGCGTACGTGGCGTGGGCCAATCTCTAATCGCTGCGATCTTGCTATCCTCTGGCTTAACGCCATCTCCGTCTAAGACGTGGCCTAAATACAAAACTTGGGTCTTCGCCCAATCGCACTTCTTTGCATTGATCTTAAAGTTAGCTTCCCTCAGCTTCTCCAAGACCTGCCTGAGATGACCCTGGTGCTCTTTGAGGGTCCTACTAAACACGAGAATGTCATCTAGATAAACTACGACAAATTTGTCTAACCATGGCCTAAACAAATCATTCATACAGCGCTGGAACGTAGCTGGCGCGTTGGTTAGTCCAAAGGGCATCATTATAAACTCATAATGCCCGTACCTAGTCCGGAAAGCTGTCTTATACTGATCATCAGGATGTACCTCTATTTGATGATATCCAGACTTTAAATCTACCTTAGAGAAATATTTGGGCCCCTGCACTCGATCTAAGAGATCGTCTATCCTTGGCAGTGGCTCAGCATTCTTTACTGTAATAGCATTCAGACCCCTATAGTCTATGCACATTCTCAGCTCTCCCTCTTTCTTAGGAACAAAGAGAACAGGCGCTCCGAAAGGGGACGAACTGGGCCTAATCCAACCCTTCTCGAGGAGCTCGTCTAACTGCTTGCGAAGCTCCTCTAACTCCCGTGGGGACATCCTATATACAGCGCCCTTAGGAGTCCTACTGCCAGGCTCTATCTCATTACGGTGCTGGATGGGCCGCGGCACCGTGCCTGTCGGCGGCTCAGTTAAATCCTCAAACTCTTCCAGCAGCTTGGCAATCGCAGGGTCCATCGGCTTTTCTTCCGTAGACTCAGTTGCTGGCCTAACATAGGCAACAAAAACCTGTTCCTCCAATTTCTCCTTCACTAATCTGGCAAACGCGGGGGCACTCAGGCAGCAATGCGCCAAGGAATTCTCTACCCCTGACACATGGAACAGGCGGGCAGTCTTAGCCTCGCCTGAGGAACTAGGGAGCCTACACTCGTGCT